AAAAATGCATTTAGATTTTCTTAGATGTGGTGTTCATATTTAACCAAAACAGATAGTCTTCTTTTCAAAGGCGATCCAGAATAATAAAATTCAGGATTGGTTCATTTATAACTTATCATGAAATTACACTTTTTATACCGATTTTAAAATATTGTATATTTTCTGTTCACTTTTGGCAAGCTTCATCTTCACCTTTTGCTAAATGCCTGCTGGATTTAACATTTTATCAAGCAGGATGAAAAGTGCCATCAAGGATCTTTCAGCAGGGTTCCTTCTATACAAGAGGATTACGGCAGAATTGTTGAACTCAGACTTTTTGCGTGGTAAAAGTAAGATTACTGTCCCACCAGGGAACACAGTGCTCCCCCTTCTTTAACAACCCCCTCAACAAGGATAACAACTGTCTGGAGGACTTGACATTTCTCACCTTTACACATGATAACGGACACATTCTCATGCACCGTGCTGGGAGGGCGTGTGCTTGAAACTGCTGATAGATGAGACAAGTTTAAGGCCCTCACACATCAGCGGTGATCAAAGCCAGAGCACCTCTGTTCTTCATCAACTCTGAGCTCTCATACCTGCGTTCGCTGGCTCACTTGTTCACGGCTTGCTCACTTGTTCACGGCTTGCTCAAGCAGATGAAAAGAAATGTTGGGGAATCCGTGGTTCACTTCACACCCTGGTCAAAAGCAGCCAATGAGAGATGGAAAGCACCTGACAGCAAGCAGTAGAAAGGTTTCTTTTTCTTTTTTTTTGGATCTGCATGTGTGGACTCTTTGAAGTTCTTACTCCCACCTGCATACAATGAATCAGCCATTTTTCTTTGGCATACTGTATATGTGATCCCAGCCATCACTACGGCTTATATTTCTCTGATAGTGTGTAGAAATGACACCGAATAAAAAAAAAAAAACGAGACAGGAACATGGTGTGTTTAATGGAAAAAACTGAGCATTCCTTCATTTGACGATTCAATTATTTATGCAGTGATTTGCTGTTATTCCATAGCTCAAAAATGAAGGTAATAATTACCTTAGTTATAGCCTTTCTTCTCCGAGCACAGAAAATCCCTGAGGGGAATAGTTTAATGGTTTAATTATAACGTTGTGTTTCATACATTTGAAGAGAATGACTGATATCTTGGCACGGATTCTCCTTTTTTCTAATGTAGCACATGTGGGGCAATTCTCAAAGTGTTGAAACTCAAAAAGAACACAGTGCGATTTCACGGTGCTTCAATAAATAAAATGAGTAGATGAAGCTTTCTGGTTGTCAGAAAGACTACTTTTATTGAGAGTTAAAGAACTCTGTGGTAAATTATTATGTGAATTGTTAATATAAGCTTTTTCAAGGCTCATTTCAGAGCCTTGAGATTGGCAGAAAAATGTTCACATATAATTTAGTCTGGGAGCTCTCGGTTTATTTTTAATGTCTAGGGGCCGTTGCAAACACATGGTGACTGACTTGTCTGATGACACAATTGGAAAAAGCAACAATCAGTTTAAGCATGCCATATTTTATTATAGGAGCAGAAGAAAATATCTATAGGATTTTTTCTAAAAGTGCACCCCATAGTATTTTGCTGATTTGAACCAATAGCCTTGAAATAGTTTTTATTGCAATAGTATAGCAACATGGTAATAAAATTTTAGGAACATTAACAAATTATTGAATAGACATCTGCTTCTCTCTTTAATACACTTCAAAACAGAAACCATGTAATTTAACTGAGGCGATTTGATTTTTTTAGCCAAACAATGGTTCCAAAAAAGAACTGGCTTATTTTTGCTCATTTCTAAAATTGTAAGATTCAACTTTTCAACTAACATACTGCAAAACACCATATGGCAACTGTTGGGTAAGGTGAAGGATCTGTGATACTGTCAACCTGTTTCCCCTCCAAATGCCTGGGGAATCTTATCACAGTGTATGGCATCGTGAACGAAATTCGATAAGTCGAGGCATATGGAAAGTCTTGGCTTTCCCTGGATCTATAATTTTGTAGCTCTATTAGCTTCTTGGAACCCTGGGTTCCATTAAGGAAACAGTTGGATTTCTTTGTTACACATGACAGAAAAAACATGCAAAGGGCTCAGAATTAGCGTAATGGAAATGTGTGCTAAAACAAAAGTTGGCATAACTGTCGTTGTGGGTTTTGGTGGCTACCACTTGGTACCTGACAAAGCAGGCTGTTTGTGCTGTATGTCATGATCCGACATAAGTTTGTTATAAAAGTATTACAGATTAAACTTCAGCTTTAATGACATAAAGCTACATCATTTTTAAAGTGTAATCACTAATACTTTTATAACAAATTTATGTGAGATCATGATTTCTTGGTTAATGTCAAGTTGTCATAACGAAGACATTTTGAATAATGTCATAATTGACCAAATAACACTTTATGACGGCAGTCATAAATATTCATAAAAACTTGCTCGTGTTCATGCAAGGTTTTATGTTTATGATGGTGTCAAGTCAGTTTTATTCACAACCTGTCAAATAAAGTGTTACCAAAAATTCTTAATTCATATGAAAATAGTATTTTTTAACATCTGTTTTTTATAAACACTGAAAAACTAATTGTTTTCTTTGTTTGACTTTTCTAAACTTTAAAATTCAAAGAGGCCTTCTATCCAAATGTACTCTGATATTCAATTATGTTGACACTTGATCGCTTTTAGTTTTTATCTGTTTCCAAACCTGAAAATAACATCAAATAGCAAATACAACAATCTGCCAGCAGCCGGCGCAGAATCTGTTTATTTTGTCTGCTGTCAGTGAGAGACAGGGACCAAGTGCTGCAAATCCCAAAACACAAAAAAGGAACGATTTTTCCTGCAGCATATTACAAAGACAAACAAGGAGTTACTTTGTTGCGGTGCAACAAGAGGCATGTCTTCAGCAGAGCAGAAGGGAGCATGTTGGTTTAGTAGATAAGTGGTCCGTGTTCTGCTGCCAAACCTAAACAAATTCCATTTCACACAGCTCACCTCCGTGCCTCGTCTGTATCTCCTCTTCTATCTCAACTGAAGGCCCCTGGATGTTCAGGGGAAAGTTGGGGTAACATTTGAGCTCCAATTAATTGGAATTCATTCAGCCTCTCATTTTACCCAAATGAAAATAAACCAGTTGCACCACTGGACATAAAAAATGTTGCTTCCAGAGGCCTTCGCGCTTCGTTATCTCTCCAACAGATCGTAGTCGGTTTGCCGCTGTATTTCATAATAAATTAGGTATTCCAGAGTAATAAAAACTGACTGTTTAACTTATCCATATATATCCACGTTCTGCATATATTTGCCATCTTTCTTGTGAGAGCTCAGTTATTTTCATAGGGCTTGAAATCAAGACTAAAAAAGAAAACCACTGTTCTGACTCAGAGGAAGGAAAAAAAAACATTGAAAATGTTTTTTTCCTTATCATAAACTACAGTAAATGAAGGCTGTTGTGTACAGCATTGAGATTACATTGAGCAGCAGGGTGCTTATTGAAATTTTAATGTGGAAAAACCTCACCAACTTTACAATGTATATTTACATTAATCCTCCTTGGCTATTTTGCACATGCAGTAATTTTCCTTGACCTTTTCCAGGAGTTTTATGTGATAGAGTAAATGCCAAGTAGTGTTTAATTGTGATGTGGAAGGAAAACGAGACGTTGTTTTGAACAACTTTTTAACAAATTGAAATCTGAAAACGAGGCCGTGCATTTTGATTTAGCATAACCTCTTTCCTACAATTATCGATAGACATCTTCAGACTAACATGTCTGTGCATTCCTGTTTGTTTCTAAGTCTTGTAACAAATTCTATGTTGACATAGATCTAGACAGACTGAACAACTGAATGTGGCTTCATCCAAATCATTATTCTGCTGGTATGTTTAGTGTTACTGTCCTGCTTGAAGGTGAATAACCATCTCTAATTTGTTCATCTTAAATTACGTGAACTCTGAATTACATTATTTGTGGGTATCTGAGAAAAGGGGCTTGGAAACAAATGTCCAATAAATAGATTACAGACTTAAATGAAGCTTAATTGCAGAAGTAAATGAAGCTATTTTCATTTTACTTCACCACTCTGCAAAACTTTGTTTTGCATTTCTGGTCAAATACATTAAGGTTTGGAGTTACAGTGTGACGGAACATAAAAACATTTGAGGTGTAATTATATTTTCATGAGTGGCAATATAAAATGGGGCTCCTGTGTGAATTAATTAAGAAGAAAAAAAGCACATGAGGAGGACAGTGACTAATGCCAGTGTGAAAAGCCCTGATGCTGATGAGTTATGAGAGGAGGAGAGGAGGAGGCTTTCTTGTTTGACCATTCCCTGCTGTCTGGCACCATTTAATTGTGTCTTAGCATGAGCTTTTCCAAAAAGTGGTTTTAAAAGAAACAATAATGACTTTGTACAAATCTTTGTGGCTCTTCTGCATTACACCCCACTGGGAAGAATTACTTCACTGTGAAATGAATGATTAGTTTGTTGACAATGTTTTTATATATTCTTTCTTTAAAAAGCTAAACAACTTATTAAGCTTTAAAGACAAAAAAATAAAGTTTCAAATATATTTGCATCACTGAGAAACATTGTAGATGTTTTTCTTGATCGTGCCTTGAGAGCCTTATTGTTTCCAAATTGAATCACTATTGTTGCCTTGTAGAAAGTATTACTGCCTCATAAAAAGGCTGTGAATGGCCCAAAATGGTTAACAAAATACCTAAGCCACAACATAACATAAAACTATAGCAGAAATTAAGCTAACTTCAACTTTTGCATAGATTTTGTGAAGTTATAGGTGGGAATATTGATGTCCGAAAAAGAGGACCAGTCCTGAAACACTTTAATCATCCTCTGTTGAGTGGACTTCTCTTACTCATTAATACGTTTTGAAAATCTCTCACAAAGATGTATAAAGAAGGAAGCATTTGTAGAAAATGGATGGATAAATCTAGCTATGGGCTTAATAGCTGACAGTCTTCCTCCTTGCTGCAGACTTCTGATCACCAACGGGTGGATCCACTAGGGTCATGGATGGATTTTGTCAAGCGACCAGTTGGAAACCTCCCCAGAAAGTGCCGCAAACGCAGACCAGCTCTGGTAAACATAAGCTGTCTTTTCAGCCTCTCAAAATAAATTTTTACCATTATCTATACAAAAGCATAGCTGAATCATTCATTTCAAAGCATGACTGTTTTTCTCTTCAAATAGCCTGGACCACCAGGTCCTCCAGGTCCCCCGGGCCCTCAAGGACCTCCTGGCTTTCCAGGGGCTGAAGTTACCCAGGAAGTTCTTTTGCAGGAGTTCAAAGAGATGATTAAAGGTAAACACATTACTACACAGAAAACCCTGCATTCATACAAGGTACATACAAGTAAAGGAAGCTGTCAGGTGCTTATCACCTTTGTAAACTAGGATTTTTGTCAATTTGCTAGCTCATCATACATAATGTTGACAGCTCTTACAATGGCCCAACAGAAACAATTATTGCTTTTCACATCAATCTGTGAAAAGTTATGTCTATTTTCAACCAATTGGTTCCTTCCCATGTCAGTCAGACATTTTCTCTGGAGGAATCCCAAGGCATTTCCATGCCAGCCAAGAAGCATAGTCTCTCCCTCTCTAAGGCAGAGCCCATTTCATGGAGAAAACTCATTTTTGGGCACTTTTATCTTCAATCTCTTTCTTTTATTATCTACCTAAAGCACAGGTATGAATAGAAAAGCTGATTGACCAGTAAATTGACTGATTATTAGCATCCACATCAAAACAGATGCAGCACCAGTCCACCCATTGATGACCTATTCCAGATACTTAAGCTCCTCTAATCCAGAGAAAGCACTCTACCATTTTTTTGGCTCAAGACCAGAATTGGAGGCACTGATCCTGATGAAATCAGTAGGACAACAATATTTGCATGAACTGAAATGGATCCCATCAACACCTTGGCTGCACCTGGAAAAACTGTCCTGAGAGGTTATGAACATAATCAGTGACAAGTTCAAGTTATTGCTGTTCAAAGTGGTGCTATGTGGATTGTGACTTAACAATTGAGAGGTTTTTGAAACTACTCATTGTCCAGACACCAAAAGACATAAACTTATAGCCAAAAACCAAAGGGTGGTGAGAGGGGCTTTTAGAGTGCCATACATCATAACAGAAAAGTTAAAGTTTTGCTCTGAGGTGACTTTGCAATGTAACAGCAAGACTGTATTCTTCTCAGAGGCTACAGAAAGGAGGGCAGCACTTGACAGGCAAATAAGCCCCAGCCAGCAACCTACAGTCCTCTTGACACTGGAGGGAATGGCCTCCCACCGCCGAATACAAGAAGCTTTCCACTGCAAGCTCAAGGGACCTGTGGTGGTGGACAAGAAGACGCTGGTGGAGCTCCAGAACTTTCAGACAGTGAGTTTGTTTAAAACCAAGTAAATGTTTATGAATCAGTGAAGCTTTGCTCCCCTACTTGAAAAAGTAGAGTTGTGTCTAATCCTCCTCTGAACTGTTATTTGCTTTGTTTTTCTGTCTTAGCTGTGAAAGAGTGAGTGTTTGGTAATTGTTGCTTACTTTGGATGTGGGAGAATTTTGAAAGGATCAACCCCTGCCACCCCTCTCCCTGGTAAATGGCATTGGCAACACATGTTGTGCCATTCTGAGACTCAGACTGCCTTTTTGGTCAAAAATATCCCCTTTTTCAATCCTACACATCACTCCCTGGGCAGCACACAAAGGAGACTCTGTCTCTGACTTGGAATAATGTGTGGAGAGGACAGAAATAGAGACTGTTAGAAGAAGCATGCAGAACGATGGGCTGTTAGGACGGGCTGACATACTGTGGCTTGAGGAGGGACGATTACATGCCAGTCTGTTTAATATAATAATAAAGCATCATGTTATAACGGCATTAGACAGTTATAGTTCAGAATTTTGCAGAATTATAACTGTTCTGCAAAATTCAGTTATAGTTTAAAGAAAGTTTAAAGAAAGCATCTGATCAAATTGTGCAGGGTCTGAATTAATCCTCTTTGGTAAAATATAATTTGGTGAAAATAGATTTTTAGCTTTCCTTTTGAAATTTTAAACTTTCCTTTGCAACTTTTAATAGCAGTTAACATAAGCAGAGTAGCAATTCTTTGCATGCCACACTACTTATGATTGCAAATCCATTGACTTAAGTCTGAGATTTCTAAGTCTGCCAACTCTTCCAAGTGCAGGATGATTAAATGGATAAAACTAAACAACTTCTTTGTGATCTCTTCAGCTCACCTGTTATCTGCTGAAGTCAGCTCCAGGTCACATTCTCATTTTGATAAAATGTTACCAAGGTGAACATAAACTGATGACCTCTTATGAAAGGAAGCTCCTGAAACTTGAAACAATTAGGTCAAAATTGCAAAAATATGAAATTGTCAAAAAACAAAATGCCAACCCCATTAAGGCTTTACATGCTTGCTCTAATTCAAATGAGGATATTAACGGCAAAAAAGCAAGAAAAATATGGCTTCATTTGCAGCCACGCAGAAATGCTATAGCATTTAAATGCTGTGATGCAGGGAGGAGCACAGACAGAAACTAGGAGAACCTGCACTTCTTCCCCTGGAGAAAAACTGCCCTTCTGAAATCGTTGTTTTTTTGTTTGTTTTTTACAGTGCATTGTGGACTATAAAATATCTCACACTACTAAGGCATCCAGCACTTCCAAGCGCCGCACAAGGTGCCATTTTTTAACACTTGAGAACCTGCAACCCAAAATGTCTGTGCACGCCTCTGTTGTGAAAACTCTATGCATTTCAGGATCCTGCAAAGCTTGGTGGCAGGTCGAAAATGATTATTCAGCAATTGGATGAAGGTGTCAAGATCATGTCGTATCATGAATCCCGATACCGGTCCTACTCATTAAACTCTCCTTACTTTACAAATATTTTTGAGATAATATTTTAAATTGCTATGTTTAGGCAGCTCAACTGATTTATATTCCTCTTCCCTGTTGCCAAAGTCATCTTCGTAGACTCAGCTTTGACACATTTAAACAAGCAGTTTGTATTTTCTTTCTGCATTTATGAAGAGAGAATAGTCACCACTGGGGCAGTTGTCCTACAGGGACCAACGTGTCACTATAATAAATCATCCAGATATCAGTTGAGTTGTTTTCTTTGCTTTCAGCCGCCTGCTAAAGGAGCTTTCCTCAGGGGAAAAGGAATGGACCAGTCAACAGGGAGGTTCACAGCCCAAATCACTGGGATATACCAGTTTTCTGCTAATGTCCACATTGGTAAGTCAGAGTGACTTTCCTTACTGTAATTTATTACACAGTAAAGCCTTAAAGCCCCCTATACACCCATATACATGTTCAGACTCTTGCAAGCAAATTATAAGGAGACAGCGGTTGTTTACATTGACCTCACCCTTGCACTTATGTGGATTCTGTTGAAAATGTTAAAACATCATCATCTTTATCCACACATGCTTAGAACAACCAAGCAATGGCTTTGATTCAGATTATGTTTACCTGTTCACATAAAGAGGTAAAAAAGTGAGAAAACACACTTTTTATTTCTGATGTGTACCTGTTACAAACGGTTGTAAAAAGCAGATCCACGTTTTTGGATCCCAAGTGAAGATCTTTTAAAAGCTTTAAGATTTATTTCAGCATGATAAATCATAAATGTTACAATGTAAGGATTTATGAATCTTGAGGGTAAAACATTTTGTTTAGGAGACATGCCAGGTGAAAGCTCCCGTCACAAAAGAAAGAATATTGGAACAGGTTTATAGAAAAGGATGAATATGCGAAAAAGTATCTCTTTCTCATTGTTCTCCACACATGGATGAAATTTGTGATACTATGTCCTTTATAGGGCCTAAGAGCCTATCTAAAGGCTCAAATTTTCTGTGAAAATGTCAGGACATTTAAAATGCAAATCTGCTGTAGTATTTGTGATTTGCGAAAATATTTCATTTTATAGTGGGTTCCTGCAATGTATAAACTTCACTTTCTGAAATTGAACTTTTTCTTGGTATCCTAATTTTTTTCAGATGTATCTGTATTCCATACAAAAGGAGTTTGTCCGACATTTTAGCAGTAGGGGGTGCTAATGAAAGTATCACTTATGATTTTGTTAAAAACATTAAATGTCTTTACATGGAACTCTTTTTGCACTGTGAATAAAAGTTAAGCTATTATCATCTAAGTTTTTATGAGGTTTGCTCATATTTGTAATTTATGATATGGCATTTGTAGGTTTTATTTCTAATATTTCTGTAATCTTTTTAAAATACAAGGATTTTACACATCTGGATCAGGTGTGCCAGTATATGCAGAGGAGATGTGGGAAGTTTAAAAAAAAAATCAGTTTAAATAAGCCTCTATGATTGTATGATGGTAACTGTTAGCCTATTTGCAGATCACAATGAGGTGAAGAGGAGCAAAAGTCAACTTAAAGCCAGAGACAACGTCCGGGTGTTGATCTGCATCGAATCGCTCTGCCACAGATACACGTAGGTGTCCTGAAAAGCATTTAATCTTGTAAAGACTAATTCGATTAATCTGTGAATCTAAATCAAATTTGCAACGCCAGTGTAATTGTAAGTTATTTCCATTTGGTTTTTGATGGTCAGTAAAACTTAAAAGTACATAATTCAATTTAACAAAACTTGCAAAACAATTGCATTTTGCATGCTTAACACCCTTGCTCAGACAGTTTGTTTACTTTTGCCTTAAAATGGTGAAATTTAAACAGTTTAATGCTGCCTCAACTTTCACTGGAATTTATGAGCTGTTAAAGGTGTGGTCTGTTACACTTTGCATGGGACCAGTGTGGCATTTCCTGTATAAAAGCAGCGCATGTCTTCAAGGGAAATGTCCCCTCATTTAGAAAAGTCGTCCCTGTCGCCAAACTAATCTTTATAGACTCACCTTTGACACTTTTAGGGAGCCTGTTACATACAACAGCTCTCATAGTGAAATGCCCTTATTTGGGATTTGGGAGTCAGATAATGAAGAACAAAATACTGTTGGGTGGCGTGGAAAAAAAAAAGCAGAGCAAGTCTTTGTTCTTTCGCGTATTTCAAAATTTCTGTTTACACAAAGTCAGAGAAAAAGGTTGAAATGAATTACTCTCCACTATCTCCCCAGAGCTCTACATCCACTCTTCTAGTGTGGTACAATAAGAGAAAAATATAAATAATACTATTATGATGTGTTGCTTAACCCAAAAGAGTACTTAACTTTTGCTTTTTGAGCCAAAACCCCAGTCTGTCTCCGACTCCCACACATGAAAATGAGGAGAATGTGAAATGAGGTTCACTGAGATGGCAGTTGGAGCAAAGACAAATAAGATTGATTTGCAATAAAAATTTTACATTTTCCACTTAACACAAGCCAGTTCCTTCATTATGCGGTCAAAGACAGAGAATTAGTTTCAACCATCTATACAAACAAAGCCAAAGTAAGAAACTGGCTTATTTGATTTCTTGCTCAGAAGCTTATATACTTTAATCTGCATTTTCATGCATGTGACAGCAGCTAAGTAACTTGCATTTAGATTAATTTTTTTTACATGCTGTAGATATGTTTGAAGAAGCCAGGAGAAGATTAACAAATCAACTTTTGTTATGTTATGTTCTGATGATAATACAAACAGACCGAAAGGCCACAGAAAGGGGATATTTTTGGAAAGCTTCATCCAATAGGAAGATATATCAGTGCCTTACTTATAAGGCACTTCATATTAGGTTGTGTTTCAAATAACATTTTCCAGTATATGGCCTCATTTAAACATACAATAAATAGAGTGATTTTTTCAACTTTAGCACCTTTTGAAACTACATTAATAATATAAGTAAAAATTGTACATTGAGCATTAAAACTGTGATATTTGTAAAAAGTTTTCTCCCTGATATTGTTGTTACAGTTCACTTGAAATGATTGTTGGATTAGAAAGCAACAGCAAGATATTCACTGTGAGTGTTCAGGGTCTGCTGGAGCTACAGGTGAGAGAAAAGCCCAACAAGCACATAATAAAACAGCTCAGTCTTTCATTAATGCCAGTCTTTATGCATTTCTCTGCAGGTTGGCCAATACACTTCCATATATGTGGATAACGCAGCTGGTGCTTCCATTACGATACAAAGCGGTTCGGATTTCATGGGCATTCTGCTTGGTGAATAGCCTCACACTGGAAAAGTGCATCCCCAAGCCATCCACTGGTGTCTTATGGTTCTTTGTATCGTTGAATGAACTGCCTCTTAAAACCATGACACAAGACAAAAACCACAAGGGACTTTTGAAGGAAAGATGAATGGCTAATATTGACTTTACTGCCCATCAGATGGTGAAAGGACACTGTGAAGAACTTCAAGGCTGAGTTTGTTTTTCACAATGCACTGCCACTTCCATGGGGAACCTGGATGCATGCTGCCTCACGTTTGAAATAACCTGAACATGAAATGGAGATTATGTTTGCATCAATATATTCTTAAGGCTTTTTAAGACCTTTGCAGTAAACCAAACATTATTCTTGTTCACTGTTGTTGGTGGAAAAGCTAAAGAACATGAAATATCACAGTCATCTGTTTAATATATATTGATATGTAATTGTTTTGTCTACAGTATTTGTCATTTACACACTTGTGAGATGGTATTTTTTTTGGATTTAAATTCACAATTTTATATAAATATATGTATATTATATAGTGCATAGACTCTGTGAGTACACTGGATGATTGATGCTGGATAGGCCTCATAATTTGGCCTCATACGGTCAAGAGAAAAACTAAGTACACCCATATAATTCAATAGCTTGCAGAACCCCATATTTCTTGTAATTGAAAAGCAAGTAGCAGCAATAATTCAGTTTTTTTTTTCATGTATTGACACTTTGTCTACTCTGCTTTATAACGTTTCTTCACTCTGTTGAGTTTTGTGGCCAATCATTTATCTCAGTTTTGATGCTTTGATCACTTTCTTTTTCAGGACTTCTGTAGTTGCATGTTAATGTGTCAGAGAGATGGTTTTCCATATATATTTTGGCATTGAGAAGAGTTCATGGTCAGATTAATGTCTGTGAGGTTCCCAGTTGATGCAGAAAAAACCCAAAACATCACACTCCCACTACCATGTTTACCAGTTTGAGGTGCCAAGACATTGGCCATTCCAACACATGGTAGCTAGCAAGTTTTCTTAGCAATTTATCAATGTTCTCCACTTAGCTTAACAAAGCCTTGTAGAAATAAATTCCAAGATTTATTTCTTTAAAAAGTTTTTCCTATGGCAGTGACTTTTTATAACTTTTTTGCAATCACAAAAAATACTCAGAAACTACTGAAAGGATTATGAGATTTGTCTCCAGGCAACATTTTCAAAAAATCTTAGTTAGTAATTATACATATATTATGACACTGTGCATAATATACCTCAGAAGACATACTATTTAGCGAATGATAACTCATGCTAACACAATAAACTTTTACAGGGCTTTTGTGTTGGCAAAATTGTGCTTTACATTTTCATCTGGAAGTTAAAATTTCTGAGTTCCATATCAGAATGATCAATACGGTCATTGGTTTCATACTAATTATGAAAATCCAATATGGCTGCTGTGCATACAAAATATATTACGGTTCCAATTGTACATCACCAAACTGGCTGTCCTCCACTCCAGGGGACACACAGAACAGCGATAACGAGACACTGCTACTGAAATGGTGTCACGTTTGTTTATGTGAAACCGGTCTATGGGCTGCTGTGGACAGTTTGAAAAAGACACAATTAAATGAGGTGAGGCAATTTACCAGTGATAATCCAAATGAATTATCAAAAAAAAAAAAAAAAATCTGGCGGGTAATAATACTTTCTCCAATGGCTTGCTGTTACGAGCATTGGTGGTATTCCTATGAAAAAGGAGAAGTTTACAAGTGCGCTTATCAAATTCAGCTGGAAGACCAGCTATTTCAACAAAGGAGAAGGAGACTGTGGTGGTGTTTTTATGCGAGATTTGGTGGTAATTTGCTATCATTCCAAAGATTGAAAAATAACTTTGTTGTTGTTTCCAGCCTTTTTTCTGCCTTGGCCTCCATTCTAACTTACATTGTAAATGTCCATTGTCCAGTTTTTAGAAAGAGAAGCCTTGCATGATTTTTGTTCTTGCCACGTACTGTAGATGTGTCATCATGGCAATGTCCCCTTAATTTTTGTTTAAATGCCAATAACTTGGAGCAAAACTGAAATTTTGAAGACCAATCAGTAAAAAAAAATCAACAAAAATTCTTTGACATCAAAAAGCAGTGTTTCTTGATTCTTGTTTTATGTTGCGTTTTATGTTCCTGTGCAACAAAAAATGTGTGTCTGCTAACTATTTCCAACAAAAAAGCAGCAAAAACTTGCCAAAATTTTTTTTTCTATGTTGCTAAATGTTATCGACATCAGTTGCTGATGATAATATTCATTAAAACATAATTTTATATTCAACCTTTAAATTCTCTTGAATCTCAGTTGTTTCCTTTGCTGATATATATTGTGTCTTAATACATCAAAATTGCCAATAAAGCTGCTCTCATTCATCTACTACTTTTTGATATTTGTTGTTATGTGTAAAAAGAAGTCAGTAATAATAAAATTTAGATTTATAAATCTTAATCACACTTGTGCTGACAAAATAGAAAATGTACCCTGCGTACTTGTTTAATTTAGGCTGAATTTCTGTTCAGAAAGTTAACAAATTCCCTTGAGACACTTTTTACAAGGTGCAGGAACTCAATAAAATTACCATTCAGTCAAGTCAGCAAAAGCCTGAGGAAAATTACAACAGTAGTAGGCCCCAATAACGATTAAATACAAACCTGTAATTAACACATAAAACAAGTTCCTTTCTCAATCAATTACAATTGTCAGTAAAAATATTTTTAGAAGTTCTCAAAAGTAGGTCTATACAAAAACCTGTTCAAATACGTTTTTGAAAAGTTTGTAAAACTTTGTTCACCTTTTTTTTGTGAAATATATCCTCAACATTTTTTGGGAATGCATCTTATGTATTTGGCTAAATAGCTGTATTTAGAGTTAAGACGAAAAATAAAAACTATCTCCATCTCTCCAGATTTCAAGAAGATATCTGAAGGTTTTGAGTCAAAACTAACTAATATTTCACCCATTATTAATTTCATTCACCTTGACAAAAAAATATTTCCATCAAATGAAAGATAGCACAGAGTATGTCGCTGCCACCACCATGTTTCACTGTAATGCAAACATGATGTTTTTGGTTTTATGTTTAATGCCAATCAGTATTTTGAAATTGTAGCCTAAGAGTTACACTTTCATTTCATCAGACTACCATGGTGTTCAACAAGATTTTAGCTAGATTTGTATGTTTTTCTTGAAATCCCCTCGTCCTTCAAAACTTTAAAGCTACCACAAAATCTCTGCATGATGGTAAAAGCCCAGCCAGGGCGATGATCTGTACTTAACTTCTTGTACTACAACTGATCACCAATGAAGAAGCGTCAGCTTCTGAAACGATTAACAACGCTGCAGAGAGCAGATGAGGTAAAATTGAAAAAATTAGAGGTAATGTAATTGCATCCCTTAATGATCTGTAATGATTCAGACTGCATAATCTCTTGGTTTTCCTGACCGCATTCTCAGTTTAAAGCAGAAAACTACCACTTAACCATAGTGAATACACAATTAATGTGTTCTCTGTAATTTAAAGCATGCAAAACACCAAAATAATCCTCAGATAAATTATATTTTTATCTCTGCTCTTGTCTGCTGAGTAGATTTTTTCAGTTCACCAGCCTAATCTTTGAGAGTCAGAGAGTGTTTTATGATGACACCAAAATGTAGATGTTGATGTCCCAAAATATGTTTTCTGTTTTCTACAAGAGACTGTTCGCATACATGTAAAGATTATAGATTACAAACTGGACATACTGATCAAGGATAACAAATCCCTCTGCTTGCCATCTGGATGAAATGTTTCACTAATTAAATTAAAACTGGATAGCTGCTGTCCCTCAGACCACATTGCAACCTTGGCCTATATAGCTGTTCTTGTGGTTGCTAATAGCTACTAATATTGGTTCAGAGTTTCATGGGTGGTCTCAAAAAGCACTACAGTGTTTGGACTCTATGGTTTGATCATTAGTTCACCCATTAAAATAAGCTGTTAGCATCATTGCATGAATGCCTCTGCCGGCTTCTTTGGGAGGCATTGCTCAGATGCCAAGTGTCACATACTGTACCCGAGGTCCGACCACAAGAACGTCACACCCACGTGCTATTTCAGCCACCTACTGTAGAGCATTTGTCTGGTAGAAATGGGCTGCTTGCTAAACGATCCAGCCATAATTTGTAAAGAAAACATAACATTATTATTCATTATAAGCTGACTAACCAGTGTTTTTAAGGCGCCACTTAAACTATAGCCTTACTTTTCACTGCTTATTTTCCACATAACCAAGCAGTAAAAAAGTGACATGAACATATATAGATGCTAAAGTACATATTTAAATCTACAGTGTATTATTGGAGCAGGATTGTCGGAGCGTAGCCACTTTACATTTTTTCATAAGCTGAATCTTTCAACATCTTCAACTGAGCGGGGATGATAGATGATATAATATTTGCCTTTTTACTGCTCCAGGAGTAAGAAAGTGACACACACTTGTGTGTTTTGATTGTCTTAAGTTTTTTTCCCTAAATGTGTTTGATGACAGCTATGTGTGCATGCTGTAACGCATTCGCTGCCCTGCAGTGGAACGTGGAGCCTGCCAAAGTGGTTGCGAAACCACCCTGCGCCACTGACTCTGACAGGAATTTCCCATTGCCCTATTATCAGTATCAGACAAGCTGAGTGATCGCAATTACATCTGCCTGAATGCTAAGAGCGACTACTTTTTCCCTTTTTTCCCTTAGACAAGTGAGATATTATGAAAGGCCCCATTGTGAATCTTTGAGGTTCCTGTCTGCCACGTAAACCAACATAGTTGGGCTGTATGGCTCTAATGAGGCTTTAATTATGAGATTCCTCCACCTTAGCGACTGCCTCAATGGGTGACGGCTTTACGCAAATCCTTCTGTGTGTAGTTTATGAAATCCAGTGGGACCCAATCCCACATATACCAAACAAAGACACAAGTGAAAACTCAGAAGAGCCAGTTTAAAAGTAAAAGTCACGGGTAAACATTCACATATTAAATGATTTCAATCTATAAGTTGCTCTTTCATTTTTTAAGCTAGCTAACCTTTGTGACTGACATTTCATAATTGGATGTTTGATATCAAAAGAGCAGAGTGGAATTATGCATAAGTGGGTGTGATTGAGATATTAACAGTTTAGAATAGGACTATGAGCAAAACAAAACATGATAATAATGAGATGATGAGATTTTAGTCTGCTCAAGTTTACCTATTTAATCTTTCAGAATGATCTGTTTTAGAGCCTCTTGTCATTTTAAATCCAATTAAGCTGCAGCTGGCCATGCTCTCCAACGCATGTACTTACATTCACACATGAAAATGGATGCAAACCAATGTGCAAGTATACAACTGTACACATTTGAAAGCAGAAGTACAGCCTCTTGAGTACAACGAGCTTGAATGCAGAAAGTGGTTTCTGAATGGTAACTCAACAACAACCACTTGTCTTCTTCCTTGTACAGCACTGAGACAAAAATCACCTAATGTGCTGAGCTCAACTTGGGAAGGTAGGTAACAGGCTGGGCTTTGCTAGATAATGCTGCAATGCCTGTTGAATGTGACTTAGCAATCAGAAGGTTTTTGAAATGGCTCATTTTCCAGACGCATAGCTGGTGTTGTTCTGAATGCTTGGGCTGTTTTTGAAGCAAATGAGACGCAAATTGAAGAACAAAAATTTGCATGTGAATTTTTTATAATAGCTCTCCTTTATGCGATTGAATTAATTATTGCCAAACTAATGATAAAAGGAGAAATATTAGTCACATATCGTCAGAAATATTAATATAGACAAAGATATATATGTATAGCGCTACAAATAGTTGCCTAAATGCTTCTTTTTAACTTTAGTTACCTCAACATGGTAGCCACCATAAAGCTTCTGGCTTAACACTCGACCACCCCTTGTGGTAGAATTGCTAAAGTTAATTTAAATGAGCTGTTTCCCTTGGAAAGGCAGAAACATTAAACATGGTCAACAGATTTTCAATAAGTTAAATATGGAGCGGTTCCACAAGCTCAATGTGACCCTGTTTTTATCCATTCCAAAACAAGTTTGATTGTGTTCTTGGTCTCACTGATTGTTGAGCATTGTTGCATGAAGGGTCACAGTCCGTTACGCTTCTGATTTAAAACATCTGGCCAAACGTCAGGAGCAAACTGAAACAAGACCAGCTTTTTTTAAGCCAAGAATTTATAGTGAAAGGACCAGTGTGTGTTTTTGCGTCAACTTTGAGGTGCTTATTTCTCACTAACGATGTCGACAGTTGTAGGGATTAAACCTTTCACCACATTAAATGTGCAACATAACATCAGTAGATACCCTCTAATTTCTCTCATGTTATATTATCTTTTACATGTAAGGCCTTCTCTCATGAGTTTGATCAGTTTGATTTTGAAATATTTCTTAAAAAATACATTCATGTGCATATTAAATGTACAGACTTCTGACCAGAACTGTAAATCTTTCAGCTCACTAAAGTTTTCCTTTTTCTCCCTCATTTTCTGATTTTATAAAAATATCCTTCATATAAGGTTTCCTGACAAGGAGTTTTCAGTAAATATAACGAGGGCAGTTCTCCCTGAACTCCATGGCCTCAACAAAAAACTTTATATAGAGTCTAAAACCCAGCCTAACAGGCTGCCGTGTTTTTTTTATTTTTTTTATCCACATCATCCAATTGAAAACCTGGTGTCATAGCAACCGGTTTGTAATCATCAGCTTTGGTATCAGCAGGGCTTTGGCTGCTGCACTTTGCTTGGTGTATCTTGGGCTGCTGAGAAAAAATCCAAGGCATGCTAAAAACATAATACACAGGAGCCTGGCATCCTTATGAGAGAGTCTCTGTGTCTGCGGCTCTCTGCAGGTAGCCATGTTTGGAAGTGCTGACAAACAGAGAAGAAAGACAGAAAGGACTGGGCTGGACATGTTGTTGTCTGCTAACCTATCGGTGTCCTATCTGTTTCACATTTGGCCTCCAACATTTGTCATCCCTCTATTAAAAATAATCTAGAATGAGCTCAATAATTGCAGTTTTATGCTTCGCAATCATTCTGGAATAACAGTAGTTATAATAAACCAGAAAACAAACCTTAATTGATGTCAATCCAGCCTGCGAAACTTTATGAAAACTTCTGCAACTTGTTCTTTCACATTTTGCTGATTTATATTTATCACACACACACCCAAATCTAATTTTTATGACACAAATCCCAGTTTCTGTGATAAGATTCAAATATTTAGATGATCATGGATCACCAGATATTACCTGTCA